AGGATAATCTACTTATCAGAAGCTAGTTAAGAGGAAAAGGCTGTTTTCACATACAAATATCATTCCATCAAATTCACATGATGATTGGTAGACTAGCATACACTAACTACCCCAACACTTCTTACATTAGGCTCCCTTTGGAACCTCCCCTGAAAATATTACCACTCTGTTTATCCCTTGTCTAGCTAAGGCATCAATCGTGCTGTTTGAATATCTTGGAACCCACTGAAATGTGACAACCAATTCTTCTGCCGAGAATTTGATTTCTATTAATATGTATGTACAAATCCATGTTCTCAATCTTTGCTCCTCAACCATCTCACCACCACCTGGGAATCCCCCTCTATTATGATGTTTTCGTAATGTAGATTCTTTCCCAGCCTTAGCCCCATGTAAGACTGCCATCAATTCTACCACCATTGAGTCTCCTAACCAATAGGTCCTACATATAAAGCCATAACCACCCCTTCTCACATCTGAAAACCTGTCCAATTCCTGACCTTCCTTGGTTAACCAAGGTAGCATCCATCAAAGCTCATCTTCAAAAAGGGCGGGACATGCAGCCTCCACAGGATCCTTGCTCTCAGTTTAGCAGTAGATGAATTGACAATGGCTTGTCAACTTCTAGTCATATTATCATAAGAAGTACAAGTAAACAGTGCTGGAAGTTTTGACCAGTGTGCCACCCTTTTCTATCTGCAACAGAAATTTCATTCAATAATTAAAAGGTGATAGAGTACAAAAGGCTAGGTCAATCCCCAGCCACCCATTTTGGTTTTGAACTTTATCCCAATTACAATACAGCCCAAAAAGTTGTTCCCACCAACTCCTTGCTTTGCCAAACAATCTGCTATTCCATTTTCCATCCTAATCCACCTAAAGCATAGTTGTCAAGGCGTCGCCTAGGCAACTAGGCACCCTTGGCTGGGCGCCTCGCCCAAACGCCTTGACTTTTAGCAACTAGGCGACTAGGTGCCCGCCTAGGCGACAAAAATGACAAGGCGGGCGCCTTTTATAATATCATTTATATTGATGTATCTTATTAATGTATGTGTTAATACATTTTATTATATGCTATATATATATATATATATATATATCAATTATACTTTGTTTTAATGTTTTACTATTGAGATTTAAAAGATCAAAGGGTTTTGAGAAGAGAAAAAGAAAGAAAGAAAGAAAGAAAGAAAAGAAAGAGGAAAGAAAGAATAGAATAATAAAGATATTTTTTCTATTCTCTCTCTCTCTCTAATTAAATAAAACAGAAACTCCATCCTTGTTTTTTTTTCTATTTTACTTTCCATCTTGAATATTTATCATATAAAGTTGATAACCATCTATAGCTGCTAATTAATATGAATTTTCTCTATTAAATACTTACTATAGTAGTATTACTATTGAAAATAATGAAATTAATATATGCACAAGATTTTTATCTTTTAGATATGATGATTTGCCACATTTTTAGAGGAAATTTAATGTTCTTAATAAAGAGAATTGCTATTTTTTCAATTAACATACATGCTGGATGGTATATAAAATTAGGAAACTGGCCAAAAGTCAGATTTTTATATTATAAAATTTTTATAGCCTAGGCGACTAGGCGCCCCAGTGTCGCCTAGACGCCTTGAAAACTATGACCTAAAGGTAGCTCCCATTTCTCTCACAATTGTAACAATCTCCTTAGTGTCTGCCTATTGCTCCAAGCTTATGGATCATTGCTGCTTAGCCAAGAGATGACAAGTTTAGTCTCCCTCCACTTCTATCTGCTGAAACCCCAACTGCTTAGCTAACCTCAGCCCTTGTTGCAGCACCAATACTTCAGATTTAATAGAATCTCCTACTCCACTAGAACCTGAATAAAATGCCATTATCTCTAAACACTCCCCAAATTCCTGCTGGGCCTGGATTGCCTAAGGAGTTTCCATCAAAATTTAGCTCAAGTCGGTGTCCTGTTGGTGGTTGCCACTCAATTCTAGCCTTCTTTACTTTTTTTTATCAGCAAAAGTTATTTTATTAAATTGATTAAAGGTGGATTAGTACAATTTGATTACAGGAGTATAATTCCCACGTGCACAAAAGTAAACTACAAAGATGCCCAATAAAATTGCTGACTTGTGATCCCTTGTTTTGCTATGGCATCAGCCAGCCTATTTGCACTCTTAAACCCACTTGAAATCAGCCTTGTTTTGCTAGCCTTCTCCTTTACTTTAGAAGAGTTTGCCACTTTACCCAGTGTTCCACCCTTACCAAGATTGTTGCCATCAATCATTAATTTGGTATTTATCAAAGAATATCAGCCCATTCCATTCTTCCCATACTGTCCATCAAACAGCTGGCCTCATGCATTTCCATGGTGGCTTACCCCTGTTTCTAGATGGAGAAAAGGACACCAAGAACAGGCTCCTAAGGTATAATGGGAGATTCCACCCACAACCGAAAAAGAGAAAAGAAAAAGTTCCAAATAGTACAAACAAAATAATAGGAGATTAGTAAGTGTGAGGCTGTCTCATAACCAACTCTGCAAAGAATGCACATGTTAGGAGAGATAGACCAATTTGACCTTCTCATTTGAAGGTTAGCACAAGTATTAATCTTCTCATGTAACACCCCAAGAAAAAGGCTCAATTTTTGGTGGAATAGGCCTCCCTAGACATAGGGGTGCAACTGGATCGGATCATGATCCGATCCTATTTTGTCAAACTTGGATCTTCCCAGTTTGGATCTTAGGATCGGATAATAGGAACTGACTAGAAATCGGATCGGATTCGTATCACCCCTATCCAATCCAATATATATGTTATTTGTTTATTTATTTACATAAATATGTATAACATGTATATGTATACGTTATTTATTTATTTATAAATATATTATTTATAATGCATTTTTGTAAATTTATTATATTATTTATTTTTTTATAAAAAACATGCATATATAAGATCAAAATAGTTGAAAAGATACTTGTATTTTTTGTGTTTCTTTATTTAAATTGTTATATTTTATTTTTCTTTTAATAATTTATTTATTTTTTAAAAAAAGAAATCAAATCGGGTTGGATCATATCCGAAGATCCGACAGTCTCATTGGATTTGAATTCAAATCCATGTTTATGAGACCGGATCGGATCGGACCTCCCCTTAACAATGTCGTATCGGACTCGAATATACCCTAATTTGAATCTGATCCAATCCGTTTACATCCCTACCAAGACAGCCTTCACCAAAAAGCTCAAACTCAGAGAATTATCAAGGGAAGAGCATTGAAAAAGGAAGCACGAGAGAACAAGTGTGATGTACAAGCATTCCAAACTATGTAATCCCTCTCAAACAAGTCCAATTAAAACCCTCTAAAGAGTCAATAAGCAAGAATATTTCACAAATCTCCCCCTCTCAAAGGCTCCTCCTAAAATTTAATTCCATAACAACCCAATTTGAGACAACAAAAGGCAATCCAAAACCAAGGCATTTTTAGAGACAATAAGTGGGTAATGAAAAGAGAATTTTAAATTTCCCCACCACAAATCAGTCCATAATTTGGATTGGTCCTAGAATGTACCTCCGCTCTAATGTGTTGAAGGAAAGTTTAAAGTGATGAAACAGCTTTCCAAGGAGCAACATGAGTAGTTTGGGCAGCCAACCCGCATCCCAACCACCAACTATCAAGCCATGAATACTCTTAGCTACATCATGCCATTTACCCAATAGTCTGGTTTTTAATGAATACTTACCCAATACCAAGGCCCCCTTCCACCTTACTCCCACACACAATATCCCAAATAATTAAGTGATCCCTCTTAGATGTACCTCTCAAAAAGAACATACTCTCAAAAATTTCTATCAAGAGTCTTAAATTCAAAACCCTACTCTCTCCTACATCCTCACAAAACAAAGTGATATCATTTGCAAATTGTAAATATGTGATTGTGATTTCATCAATGCTTATCTTCCATCCCTAATCAAACCACATCTCTCCACCTGCTCTATTAGTCACTCAATTGAAAGCATCTACTACGAGAATGAAAAGAAATGGGGAGTGGAGGGTCCCCTTACTTTAATCCCCTCTTTGCTAGGAAAAACATTTAACTACACCATTGACTAAAATAGAACAACTATAGGATTTATCAAAAAAAAAAACAAGAACAACTATAGGTTTTCACACACCCCATGATCCACTTCCTCCATCTCTCCCCAAACCCATATTTCTCAATCACCTCCTCCAATAAAGACTAATCCACTTTCAACCAATTCTCTTATATTCTCCAACATATCAATTGGTAATCAAGATTTGGTCTGTAATTCATCCATCTTTGATAAAGGCCCTTTGGGATTTTGTTATAATGGTTGGGAGTATGTCATTTAACCTTAATGAGAGAAATTCTACATTATCTTGTAGACAATTCAACCAGGCAGGCGGGTTTATAATCCCTAGGGTGGCAAGTTTTTGGTATCTTAGATATTAACACTAAGAAGGTAGCACTAGCTCTCTAACTGACAAATCCTCTATTGGGAAATTCAATAAAAGCATCAATCAGATCCCTTTTAGAACATCCCAACAATCAGGAAGGAGCCTTTCTTTTCATTCCCAAAAACATGTCTTCTTTTTTCAAATTTATAAGATCCTTACTTCCAAAGTGGCTTTAAAAATAAAAATAAAATTTAACAAATGCAATTTTGTTCCAATAAGATTATGTTTTTCCCTATATCGTTTCAATGAGAAAATTAACATTATAAAACCCCAAAAGATAGTATCTTCTTAAACTAAATATCTAAATATTAAATAAAAGTTACAAAGTCAACTTTTTCTCGCGGAATCTATTGGCCCAACCAAACATTGTAGTTAAACTGTAAACTTATTATCTATACAACACATACTTCCTTCAATACAAACAATGCTGGTTGAAAGAATCAATAAAGCGAGTAGTTGATCGACCAAATAAAACAAGAAATGTTAATAATATGTATGATTTAAAGGTGGATCTGGGAAGAGTTTCTTACAAGGAACCGAAACGAAGAGCAATACGTTCGGATGAAGTCGAATTTGCGACGAAAAGTTTCTCTTGGTGAGAATCTGCCACTCGAGACTGCCATTTCGATGGGAGCCAGCGACAACACCGTCGATGAAGAAGATAAGAAGAAAGAAAGCCATGGACAGGAATCCCCATGCCCTGCAGGCGGGAAGTTTTGGAGCTTTCATCGGAAATTTGAGTGAGTTTTACAACCCCTCGAGGAATTTTAGAGTTTAGTGCCAACTGCTAAGTGCTAACAATAAGCAGGTCTCTGGGGTTTGAAGTTCGAACCAAACAGGGGAGATCTAAGGTTTTAAAAATCGATCCGGGAATGGAACCCATTGGCCACGGCCCACCGGGGTTCGACCATCCGATAGAACAGTTCAAACGGTTGACTGGTTGAGCAGTTGATTATTTTTTTTTATATATAATCTTGTGAAGAGCTATACAATGGGGTAGCCCATGCCCAACCTAGGTGTAGGCGGGATTCGATCCCAAATACAATATGTATCATGAAAATCTGTCACAGGGTGAGGAAAATCATTCTAGTCCTCGTCCCTAATCATCATTGTATATTGCTAATCATCATTGTCCCGATGGGGAATATCATAACCATCCCTAATAATCATTACTATATTCGTTTTTTTTTTATAAAACCCAAAGGGCACTACAACAAACGGGGGGTAGTGTGCTCCCAATGGTCAGCTAAACAAATAGAGAAAAGAGAAGGGGGAAGGGAAGAGAAATTAAAAGATAAACACTCAGACGTAGCAATTTGGACTTCGTGCACCATCCAATCCGCAGTCTGATTCTCTTCTCCGTAAACATGTCGAAAGAAAAGACTTCTAGAAGAGGTATTCTTCATCCTCAAGCAGCACTCAATAATGTTTTTCATCTTCCAAGAGGGTTTCGTCTTCTGGTTGAGGCACGAAATCACCAACTTTGAGCCGCCTTCAATAATGATCGAAAATTGATGGAGATGTAAGGCCATCTTAATAGCCTCCTAGGCAGCCCATGCTTCAGCTTGATTGATGAAACAGTAACAATCTTGACAGCTTTAGCATCCAAGACACGACCAAGATGATTATGGGGCAATACACGCAACAAAACAATGACCATCTAAGTAAAGAGACGCATCAAAATTGATTTTAATGCAGTCCTGAGACAGGGCCGCCCACTGGATGGGCTTCCGAATCTTGTGATGTTTTTATTCTCTCATTATATATTGTTATTTTTATTTATTCTCAAACTATCCTATTTATTTTATTCTATTATATATATTTTTGCATTAGATACACCTGTCTGATTGGATCCTATTAGTCATGGGTTCTTAGCGGGTGGGTCAACCCAATAAAAAGAATTTTAATGGGTCGGGCAGGTTAGGTGATACCCAGGTTTGTACCGGAAGCATTATCTCAACCTAAATGGAGGGATGTTATGACGACTGAACTTGAAGCATTATATAAGAACCATAACTAGGATATTGTGGACTTGCCGGAAGGGAAGGAACCAGTGGGGTGTAAATGGGTGTTTACCATTAAATATCACTCGGATGGCTCGGCTGAGAGGTATAAGGCTAGGTTGGTTATTCAATATGTATATTTACATTAATTTATTATATATAAAAGTTCAAAGGTAATTAAATTTTTATTTTTTCATTTAAAAAAAAGGGTAGAATCGAGTTGAATCTGAGTCTGTTAGGATTCAAAGTCAAATCCAAGGTCTTTAAATATGATTGAATTTCAGATCGGATTGGATGCAAACTTTCTACAATTAGATTAGAGTTGGATCTTGCCGAATCTGGTATGAATCCAAACTGATTACGGCCCAATTAGCAGCCACACACATGATAACTTCTAGTTCCAACGGTCAAATGCCTTTATAAGACCTGGCCTAACTAATCGATAGAGGTGCTCAATGTGCCTAATCACATTTTGTGCATAGTTTGATTGTTTAAGATAAATATAAAAATATATAAAATGTCTAGAGATTCATATATAATATAATATATAAAATTATATTTTTTATAATTTTAAATATAATTATATAATATTAAAATTGATAAATATTATAATATAATCGAATTCGAAGTTTAGTTGGATTGAATGGAGTCAATTCTGAATCCGATCCAATTATTAATTCGATGTAGATTACAAAGTCTGAATCTGATATGATTACATAAATACAGCATCTAAACTCGAGATATCCAAATTGGATATCGGGTAAAGCCTCAAATTTTTGAGTATCATTGACAAGCCAAGCTGCTAAGTAGGGCCTACAACTTATGTTCCCAGTCTTATGTAACACTCTAATGCATTTTGTTTGTCAGTTAGTAGACCTATTTATGGGTCAGGTCGGGCTTTTTCGCCTTTATAAATAGAAAATGACTATGACCCAGTTCGACCCGACCCGACCATTAGGCCTAGATCTTGAGCTCAAAGTTCGAGACCGAGCCTGAAGCCCAATCTAGACAAATATTTTATATTAAATTAATTATAAATTATTAATAATATATTATATATTTTATAATATTCTATATATTATAATAAATAATATATATTATATTGTTTACTATATATATAATATTATCATGTCATACTCGGGCTTAGGCTGAGCTTATTTAGGAAAGTCTGAGCTTGGCCCGAAAAATAGTTGGGCCCGATGTTTAAAGCCCGAGCCCAAGTCTATGATCCTAAAACATTTCCAAGCCTGATTTAGAATGGGTCGGGCTAGGTTGGGCTGTCGGGCTACTAAGTCCATCAACAAGTCTACCATCTACATAGAGCTATAATGTGGGTCAGGTAGGTGGTGTGCTGGCACAACCCAACATGACAAGGGCCATAGAGTTGTAATGCGTAACACGTCCTCAACCATGCCTGACCTGACTTGGGAAGGGGACTGGGCTGCCCAAGCATGGCCTGCCAAGGCCCAAGGCCCAGAATAGCACAGCACAGATGGCATCTAGGCCACCTTCAATCTGTGACGTGCTAGCACGGCCCACATTACAAGTCTAGACAGACGTATTTGGGGCCCATGGAATGAAATTTTTGTATTTTTGTAATATTTTTTTATAAATTTTTATTTTATTTTGCAAATTCTATTATTATTTTTTTTTGTAATTTAAAGTTTGTTCTCTGTTTTTGTAATTTATATTATATTTCTTCTATTTTTGCGATTCTCTTTTTTTGTGTATTTCTTTGTTTTTTGTAGTTTATTTATTTCTCCATTTTCTATGTTTTTTCATAATTATTTTGCAATTTTTATTTGTCTTTAACTATATGTTTTTTTTTCTGCATTTTCTATCTTTATTTATACATTCTTTTTTTATAGTTATATTTTTCTACAATTTATGTAGGTGCAAATTTAATGGGTTGGGTTATGGACTTATGGTGGGTTTGGGTTGAACCCATCCCATTTAATTTTTCATAAACGGGTTGGCAGGTCAGGTGGATTCGGTTGAAGCTCAACCCAAACCCGCCCAATCGCCACTCCTACCTCAAAAGACATGAGCATTAACAATTTTGTCCACAACAACACTTCGAAACACTTGATTTAATTTAGTTTTATCCCAATTCTTGGAGTTTTGATCCACAAAGTCTCAAACTAAGAAAGATTATTGGTTCTTATTCATGGGTCCCATTGGAAACTCAAAAACATTATTACTCCTGAACTATGGGAAAGACCAAATATTTAAATATGATTTCCTATGAACATACACACCCAACTTAGGAAGCATCTTATGAAAAGCTCTAAAAATCGCTTTCCAAACTGAAAAAGCTTTATTTAAAACTCTTCTAGGAAAATTTTCAATGTTAGAAAGATACTTACTCTTCAACAACCTAGACCACAGAGCATTCTCTTTATTGAGGAACCTCCCCTCTAACTTACAATTCAAAGCAAGATTAAACAAAGAAGCATTTTTAAAACCTAAACCCCCATCTTTCTTCGGATAACAAAAAATCTCCCATTTTGACCACTTAAAATCCTTATTACTCTTCCCGTTCCACCCAAAATTCCTTTGAACCTTTTCAATTTCATTGATAGTTTTCTTTAGTAATTGAGTAATTGTCATACAATAATTAGGAATTGTTTGTAACAATGATTGAATCAAAATCTATCCTCCAACATAAGATAGAGATGAAAATTTCCACTTAATTTATTTCTCACTTTTTCCAAAATAAATTCTAAAGACTTAGACTTTTGCTTTGACCACAAAAGAGGAACACCAAGATATTTACAATTTGAATTTAAGTTTGACATTTTTAATTGCTTTTTAATCATTTTTTGCACCTTTAATTAGAGTTTTCTTATTGAATCAAACACAAGTGTTTTGAATGGAAACCAAAGAAACATAAGTGTTGGAATCTTTCCCCCTAGTGGGAAAGTTATTTACTCACCTAGGAGATGCTAAGAAAATAAACTTTCCCTAGTCCCCACATTAATCTGAAAAAAGAACATGATATTCTTGGTCAATGGAAACCAAAATCCCATTGACCAACTTTCTCCCTTCTCAAAATCCAAAAAAAAAAGAACGCCGCCTAAATGTTATTAGGAAAATTTGAAATTTAAAAATACCTCCAATATTTAAAGTGTTCTTATGGGGAATACGTCGTAATTTTGTGTATTGAACAACATCCTTTTGATAAAGGTTTGATTTAGGATAATCCTTGTGTTTTCTTTTGTTAAGAAAGTGAGAAATCCATCATTCATTCATTTGTTTTATTGTTGTCCTTTTGCACGAGTTATTTTGTTTGCTAGTCCTTGGAGTTTTAATGTTTTATGTTTTAATTTTCACTCAATTTTGGATTTCCTTATGTTTGTCTATAAATTCTAATCTATATAAGTTTGAAACCTTAAAAGTTTTGTCTTGGTTGGATAATTCTTTTTTATTATATAGGGCAATCAAGAAATAATTGTGTTTTAAAGTCCACCTATGTGAAAGTATAAAGTCATTTCGTGCATGCTATTCTTGAAGAAAAATAATGTTCATGAGTAGGTGATAAGCCAATCAGTCCTCCAAAGGTTAGGAGTAATCCAGAGTTCCCACTAAAAGTCAAAAGGAAGGGAGAAGGTGAAGTAGGGATAGTACACCATGGTAATCTCAAATGAAGGATAGTCAGATGTTGTTCTATATGCAAAGTATTTCGTCATAACAAAAGGAATTGTCATGTTTTTCCTAGTGCTAGCACATGACTAGAGGTGAGATCATGTAAATGCCTTCATGAACTTCATCCATTAATGGCTTTCTTAAATTTATCTTTTAGAGGCTTGGAACTAGTAATTCTTAATCAAGTTGATTGGTTA